TTATGGCGCTTTTCCCACTGCCACCAAGAACTGGATTGTGCCAGAAATTCTTTCTCCATCTACTGAAATGTGTGCTTCACTCAGAAGTGTTTTATTACTGGTGGCCAGGGCATTGTTTTTGTTGATTTGTGGCACTTCTAAAAAAATATTTCAGCCTGTGCCATCAATTATTAAAAATACATTTTACTAAAATGTTGCAAAACCATTAATAAATGTACAATCTTGGCTGAAAGCACAAGAGCATAACTTCATGAAATTCTCATTACCCATAATATATGGGGTCTGTTTTTACATTACAGATGAATAAGGTTTATTATTTTTTCTTCTCTTTTTTTACAAATGTATGTGAGTGATTTGCAAATTTATGAAAGGTACAAATTAGAAAATAAAGTTGAACAGTGAAAACTTCCATTGTTGCTGTTTGGCAGGAAGCCTGCTTAACACACTGCATGTAGATCTCTTCTCTTTGAATTGTATTTCTCTTGACAGCATCACTGTGCCTGCTGCAGATCTGACAGTGTTAATTCTGCTTGTGGAAATGCATGTGGAGCTGCACCCCAGTGGTAAACACTGGCCTCCTGGTTCCCTTCACACAGTAGCAAGAGAGAATTGGTTGTCAAATGCTTGACAGAAAGCACACTGCCTATGTGTTGGGAAGAATCAGGATGATTTCCAGAACTCCTTTGTCATCCTTCCACCACCAACCATCAGATCAGAGAATTGCAGAGGGGGGGCAAAATTATTGTTTGTTGATTGAATTAACATTCATTTACCCTGGCAGTCACATGTGCAGTAAATCAACCTAATTATCTGCTGTATTATCTCCAGGGCCAAACGTGCATTGCATCTACTGTAATCACATGTGCAGCTGAATTCTATCTGGATGTTTCTATACGTCTATATGAGTCAGAGATTCTGCATATCAAAAAAGTGCGCACGATGGAGCCTTTGAGAGAATACTTCTCAAGGGTCAAAACACAGGCAGTGCTCAAGATTCATGTTTTTGTATCTGAAGCAGTATGTAATAAACAACCATAAAGTTTTGAGGTTTCATAAAGAGTGTGTCACGTTCTGAAGTTTTCATCATCAAAGTCCTAAGCTTTTATTCCTGTCTTCTCTCAATGTGTCTGATTTGTGGGAACAGTGCTAAGAAGTACTGGACCATCAATTAAATGCCCTAGGGCAAGGCGGCTAGTCCAGTGAAAGCATTTGAAAGGGTTGCACAGCATCACTAATAGAAGTTGTAGATGTCTACATGTTTTCTTTCAGAAGGCTGTGTTTTTTTGTAATACTGAATTATCGGAAACCTGGGGTGTCTCATTGCTTTGCCATGCTGCAGGTGAGGAGCTGCAGGGTAATATCACCGTTCGCAAGAAAAGGAAGGACCCACGTGCTCTGCTCATCACCATCAGTCTCAACAACATGAAGCACATCTACAGTCTCCAGTGAAGTGGCCCCTCATTCCAGACATATGTTTTATATAACAGACATGCCTTCAAAATGCCGGTGTTAGTTGGAACACCTAATTGAACATGGGAAGAAATAGTGGAGGATATCTTTGCCATAATGTGCAGTTTTATGAATGTTCTGGCATGATGCACTCTTTTGAACATCTGCATCATCCAGCTGTTGGTAACTGAAGAGTGTCTTATGGTTCCCATCGTGTACCAGCCCCAGCCGCATGTTCTCCATTTCCTCCTTGTGCTTAGCTGGTTTCACAGCAAAGACACGAGATGAATTACAAGTTGTGCCGCTCCCTTGGCTGCAATGTTCTTCCTGGTAATAAACGAGTGCTGAACCAATTTGGTCACATTTGATTTCTTCTCAGAATTAATTCTGGTCTCAGATTTCCATTTGCATTCAAGCATACCTCATGTCTTCTAAAGCAGAAAAACTCATTCCCTTTCCACCTTAATGTGAGAGTAGGCATTTTTTATTATTATTATTTAATTAATTAATTAATTAATACTACTACTATTCATTTACTTACTACAACTATTACTACTTTATATATTTACTACTACTACTATTACTACTACTTTTTAATTTTTTTTTACTTTCTTCCTCCAGTTCTTCCTTGCACTGCAGCAACTGTTACCTGTGTGATTTTGATGGTGGACTTTTAGACCAACCCTTAACATTCAATTTCAAAACGCACTCCCAAGGAGTCAGCATGTTTTAGATGATCTTTCGGGCAATATTTGTGCGCGCGTCGTTCCGCGGGGCTTCCATCTGCACGCTCAGACAAAGATCAAAAACGCTGACAAAATAATAAGAAATGCATCGTTGAACAGTCTGCTGACAATAAGAAACGTTTTACTTCTGGGTGTATTTTTACCAGCATCATAAATTATATATGTTTTAAGGAAGTGTAAGCTAATTTAAAGGAACGTTTCACTTTTTTTTTTTTGCTGTTTTCGTATCTCCTTTATTAATGTTTTTGTATGGTGTGCGCTGTATGTGTTTTTTCGTTTTGTGCACGTTATTCTTAATAACGCTAGTCGCCAGAGTTACTCCTTATTGAAATTACATGAGTGGTCTTACTGTGACCTTCATGGCCATTCTCTGCCGCTGTCCTATGTTCTTATCGCAGTTCTGTCAGAAAAACGGCAAAGTGATACATTAATTACAAGCGGCGCAAGTAATTAAAGCCTGTGCAATCACTGGAACTATTATTTTGGGTCAAGGTAGGTTGAGAGAGATTGTGCCTTGTAAACTGGAGGGTGAAATTCCTTCGCCTATATTTAAAGAAAACCTCTGAATGAAGAAACCTCATACATATTCAAATATTCAGTGATAATGCTAATTTCGATTATGACACGACTGCTTTCAAGCAAATGCGTCATATGTGCCAATGCGTCACAAAACAATATAGCCGGTTGACGTAAAACTACGTACTATAGTAATTGACGCATACATTTTTGGATAGTCTTCATTACAGATTGAGTGTGTTTGTTTTTAATTCAATTTCATGTATAACGTTTTAGAAAATGTCACTTTAAAAAGGGTTAAACAAATGGTTCATTTTTAAGCTGAGTTTATTATTGCATGTACCTAAACAACACCATATAAAGTTGCTCTATTTCCCACACACTGCCTGCGTGGTGCAGTGGTGCAAGCAATGAAGGACCTATGAGAGGAGCAGAAATCAATTACAATTATTCTTCGTTGACAAAGTAATTAAGACTGGAGTGGCCAGTTAATTTATTGCGGAAAGGCTTATCAAGCTTGTTCGCAGATTTATGACCGATGCCGCTACCGCGTTCATTTTGGGTTATTATCACACATTATCAGAGAGTGGCAATGTGGTCGTGCACAGTTCACGTTGGAGAAAACTGAATTAATTTTCATACTGTTCGTCCAATATTTCATTGGAGGCTTAATAATAATAGAATTTAATGATACAATTGTAAAACAACAAGTAGAAATATAATGTATATGTTATAACTGAACTGCAGTATACGAGACATATAAGTACCTGAAAGTGACGCATCCAAAAAATAATTTATATATATATATATATATATATATATATATATATATATATATATATATATATATAAAAATAAAATCCACACCCACATATAATACATGATGCACACATTCATACTATCTACAGTGCAAAAGCCGGCGAGTCAATCGATAAAATATACCTTTATTAACTTTAAGTCAATAAAGCAATAAAGTTAAGTTTAATAAACGAGTAGCTTCTGTTACTTCTGGCTCGAGTTAAAATGTTCTGTTTGGCCACCATGCTTTTTTTTCTATAGTTTGTAAATTGTATTTATCATAAAATAGTAACACATTTATAATACCCATAATATTTTTTCAGTGATTACGCTCTACTCAATGAAAGCATAATATTTTTTTCTCTAAATAATTTTTATGTTAAAAACTAGCACATATGGCTTCAGATAAAAAATAATTGCTTGTTTTGCCTTAAATAGTACTGAAAACGGATAGCGCATATTTTCGTACTGTCATAGTACCTGCACCAAAACAATTTCTAGGCATATCTCCATATAAACTAATAAGCTATCGGTTACTAACGAAATAAACTAAGAAGTTCTTGAAACTGTTTGAAGAACAGCTTTTCAATAGTAGGAACCGTCCTCTACTAAGTATAAAAAGTGGATCGGGTTTTAAGAAAGTAAAATTAATATTATTGTGCCTGAAATAATGTTCAACCAATGGTAAACACCTACCTATATTCCGTCAAGACCAGTTAATTAATCAAGTACAAATGAATCAGTCCAAACACGGACGGTCAATGACGATGAGTGACAGCTAGTGCGTGCTTGCGTTGTCCCTTTAAAAATCTGAATCCAAGGCTAATGATTTATCAAACTCTTATTATCAAGAAAATGTCAGACGAAGGGCACCTTTCTAGGCACTGACGCAAACCCGATCTTTCCCACGGAGATATAGAAAGCTTTGCACTTACCGCAGCTAAATTCAGTCTGTCTATACTCTTTACAGCTGTTTCTGCTTTTTGACCGATCTTTTGCTGCTGGAGATATGGTGAGTACGGTGTTTGTTTACGGCCTTTAACAATTCGTTGTTTAAAAATATTTTGCTATTTGAACACGTATACCATCAATATTCTACATTTCGAATTGCATTTGCGTTTTTTGCTGAATGCGCACCCTCTCCATGGTGCTGAAACCTTGCTGCTGTGGTTTTCAACCACATTCATTCGCCCGAAGTAAACTTTTAAGACAGATTGGGACATTCATAATATTATTTTATTATGTTTTGATACCGTTTCAACGGCATATTGTGTCAGAAGTCGTTAAAGTTTTTTGGATGTATATATTCATGTATGTATCCCACCTTAAGAGTGAATATCCCGTGAGGTGATGACAGGTACCAGACGCTTTTGAATAATAGATTTTTGCATGATTATACTTCCGTTTTTTGCAACAATGAATGGCTTAGCGTCATTTTCCGACATCCCGTAAATGATTTGTGTTTTGCCTGGATATTCTCAACCTAGCACGGCGTGTAAGAATGCCTGCCGGGGACCCCGAAGCCACAGACAGCTCGGCAGCTTGTCTATTGCCTATAAAATCCAGTGAATGTGCCGGGCTGAATGACAGGAGGGAAATGGGGCGTAAAATTAAAGAATCTTTCTGTAATGGCGAAAGCGGGAAGCAAACACCGGCCGATCGTGAGCTGAAAACCAAAGAAGCGGAGAGAACTAGCAAGGAAGCGCCTTTTAAAAACCGCAGAATACCATATCTACGCAAAGATATCTGACTTTTCACAAAACATCTTCATTAACGATTTTACCGTGGTACTGTTGTATTGCCATATTTCGTGTATGCGTTCTTTAATTATGGTTTTTAAGTTTAAAAGACTGATGTTATCGATTTAATACTTACATATTTTTGATTGATTTTTCCCTAATATTTTACATATACACATTTCTTTGGTAAGTTCTTTGTTTTCTAAGCTAATTGTTATTTTTGGTTCTGTAGGATTCAAATATGACTAAGCACCCGACCAACATTCCTGCCAGTTTTAATACTTTACCCCAGCCTGAAGGAGATGTTGGAATTACAACAAATAAATCTGAGCATGCAAAAAATCTCCCGTCCAATGCACAGCCTGCACCGCAGCCTCCTCTTGCCAACGAGAGAAAAACTTTCTGCACGACGGAAAATAAATTGGGAGAGGTGGAGGGAAGCAAAGAGTACGGGACGTTTAAAAATGCAGCTCCTGTACCAGCGGTTAACGCTGCCTTCCGTGCGGATTGTGCGCTGCCCCAGACGGATGGTTCTGCAGTTGTTCATGGCACTTTGACACCTTCCCATTGCACAGACGCATTATCTACTCACAGTGCTTTGAAGTGTACAGTGGAGCAAAATAATGCCACGGGCAACTGGACCTCCATGAGCCAGACTACCGTTATACTGGGGACAGATGGTAACACTTCAGTTCTACCTGGCACGGTGAACCGGGTAAGTAGTTTTAAATTATTTTTTTCTGTATAACAAAGAGAACCCTTCAACTGCTGATCGCAGACTTTGAGAAAAATATTTAATCCTGTAATGAACTGGAAAATTATCTAAAGGTGTACTAAAGGTCCTACTATAATTAAGTTCTTGGAAACGTGTAGATCTGAAACATGTTCACTGGTAGAATTGACCACATCGACCTTTGTCGTGTCTTTCTTTTTAGTAGAATTATTTTAAAGTAAAATTATCCAGGAGGGATTATACCGAAAATACTGTCTGCTTTTCAGTAAGTGTAAGAAAGTTATACATCCCTGCGTTGCTGTGTCATCATCTTAACGAAAATCAGATATATAGTTGAATAAATTGAAAACATTACAAGTAATGTCTTCAAATTAGGTATGTGATTCTTTACCAACGCGGAATGATGTTTAGAATGATATATATTATAAGTTTCACATATTTGGTTCAGAATACATTCATGGATTCCTGTTCCACTCAAGAATTCCTTGGAAAAAAAAAAACCTTCTCTCCTGGGATTGGTTACTGCCGCTAGCAGCAATGCGGTCTAATCCATTACATAAGGATGCGGTTTCTGGCTATTGTTCAATCCCTCAGGGAAATTTTAACCCAAATTAAGTGGCGCTTTTACTTTTGCCTCTAGTATTCCACTGATAAGCACGATGTGATTACATAGTAGCCTAGTAGTAATAATAATATTAGAGAGATTATTATTATTATTTATTATCATTAAGAGCAACAACAGTAGTGATAATAATAATAATAATAATAATAATAATAATAATAATTTAGATCTTAAAATAATAAGATATAAAAATTATGGTTCATTTTATTTCATTAGAATGGTAGAAGTGAATTGGACATATATATATATACAAGTAGACTATCTTTTAGAGTAATTAAAATGTATCAAATAATTGTTTCCTTTAGGATGACGATGATGAAGAAGGGGATGAGAACAAAGTCAGGGGAAACTGGTCAAATAAACTCGATTTCATTCTCTCTATGGTTGGCTACGCTGTCGGTTTGGGTAACGTGTGGAGGTTCCCTTATCTAGCCTTCCAAAATGGAGGAGGTAAGAAAAATAACTTTCTGTTGTGTGCTGAACAACAGCAGTTCGCAAAAGTAGCTGAATGGTTACTTCGGTTATAATTGGAAAAATTAAAATATTACGTCCTCAATACTGTGAACAATATTACACATCCATCATTTTGTTTTTTTTTCCCATCAGAAGTGTTGTGCGCACAATAACGGATCCGATATATGAAAAAATAATTCAGAAACACGTTTCCGAGCAGATATGCGTGTGTATGCATGCTGCGTCAGGTGATTAAGGCTGTTTGTTTCAACTAGTTTGCGAAGTAAACTGAATATGAATCAGAAAATGTTAAATTGTATTCAAACATATATTTTACTTTCTAAGAATTAGTTTGTTGTTGCGGCTTTGCTAGAAACGCAGTTATTGCTCAAAGAAGTTTGACTCAAATGCGTATATTGCTTAATATAACAGTAATAGTTTGCCATAATTTTACTGCATTTTCCGAGTTATCAATAGAAATTTTCCCTCTGGTTTATATTGTTCAAGGTAATAACGATTCTAATTATGGTATTATAACATTTATATTTCTTTGATAATTGCACTATAGGCCTACTTATGAAGTCATTGCATAAAACGTGTTTAAGTGCATGAAATTGTATAAAACCTTAATATATGTTTCATGTACATTTTTTACCGGGGAAATGTATTATTTTTCATTTAATTTTTAAAAGAATTTTCCAGACACGGAAAATGATGTCCCTTTTAGTTTTACATGTTTAAATAAAATGCCTTTGTCATGGAATTACGAAGCGAACGTCCATAAAATATACTGCAGTAATAGCCTACTTCATGTGAACATGCAGAGTATTTTTGCAACAGTGACTAATACGTTTTTAAATTGTTTAACAAGAAAAATTAATATATTAAATATTGCTGTAAATATTGTAAACTTTATGTATAATAAATTAAACGAGATGTATACGTAACTTTCTCGTCTACCCGTATAGGTGCTTTTTTAATACCTTACCTGATAATGCTGTGCCTAGCGGGAATCCCCATATTTTTACTCGAAGTGTCCCTGGGTCAATTCGCCAGCCAGGGCCCCGTGTCCGTATGGAAAGCTATCCCGTCGCTTCAAGGTACATTACGTTTACCCACAGTATGTGCCTATTTTATATTTTTGTTTTATTTATCTGTTAAAATGATACTATTGTTTCGGTAAGCGAGTGTAATAGCGAATTATTTGTTTTTAGACATAGATGTAAATGTATAAAATAGCTGGATGACACTTAACTGGTTTTGTTTCAGCATGATAATAATTTACGTATTTTGTCTCATTTATTCATTGTAGGTTGCGGGATTGCCATGTTGATTATATCAGTCTTAATAGCCATATACTATAATATAATCATGTGCTGGACATTGTACTACCTGTTCGCTTCCTTGAAGGGCTCACTACCCTGGGCTACTTGTAAGAATTCTTGGAATACCATGGACTGTAAAGACAAAGACATGCTTCTCTTAGGTAAGGACAGTGAAAATGTGGTTCTACTCACTCTAGGGTCATATGCGTGTGTGTGTGTGTGTGTGTGTGTGTGTGTGTGTTTCAAGCGTGTTATTGCTTTCTGGTTTTGAACGCATTTTTTCTTTTTCATTCTTTGTCATATGTGAATAAAGTTTTTGGAAAAGCCAATGACTAAAGGTTTTATTTCTCATTCATTTCTGTAGTATTTGAATCCAGGTTCGATGTGCGTGTGTAAATTTGTTTGCCTGTGTATTATTTACGCACCTTGTTCAAGTGAAAATGTGCTGATGATTTTATTAGCTAAAATCCACCATAGACTGCAGTTGTATATAATTACAGGTGATTTTAATTGCTTATAACATAACATATAATGATTATTTGCTTGTGAGTTTGTTGTTTGCTTGTTTAAATTTAAAACTGTACCTTGGTTGACCTTTCCTACTCAGCAGTAGCGATTAAAGCAAAAAAAAAAAAAATGCTGTTTTGACAAATTTTACTGTAAGGGAATTGCTGCAATGTCACAATGTTCACTGAAGAGCCCTACTGTGGCCATGCCGGAAACTGCAGCTAATTTAGCATCGTACAGTAGCTGTACTGTACGGTGTACGCAGTGTACAGAGAATGTTAACACAAAATACACAAAGAACTTTTTTTGTTAAATAAAAATATGAAAGAGCAAGATAGGACTGTATAGGGAAATGTGTGCAAATATAATCACGGAACGCTCTTTTTCATTATGACAGACTCCTGTATTCTCCGGGAGAGGAATATCACGTCAATTAGGAACACAACCTTCTGTTTGTCACCTAATGTCATTGGAAATTTGAGCAAGCTCACAAACATAACATCAGAAAACAAAACCTATGTGAGTCCCAGTGAAGAATATTTCAAGTAAGTAGTTAACTTGTTAAAATCTTGTCACCAAGTAGAATGGTTTTGAGGTGTTAGGACTTTAAAAGTTTTAAATAAAATGAATGCAGACGAATTTAGACTATATATTTCATGCCAACTATGTAGTTCAGGTTGAAATACTCATACATGGATAGGTACAACATGTATAAGCGAGGCATTTATTTCTAAGTTAAAGTTCATAACTATATTTGGGAAACTTTTATAGTAACTGACGCATAATAAATTTTGCTTTTCTTCTTCCAATACCTAACTAGACATTTCACATAATCTGACATCCAGTCCTACCGAGGTAAATAGTAGACGTGTCTTTCTCGCAACAGGTACAACGTACTCCACATTTCTAAAGGGATTGAGTATACAGGGGATATTCGTTGGCCTTTAGCTCTTTGCTTGTTCCTGGCTTGGGTCATAGTCTACGCATCTCTGGCAAAAGGAATCAAATCCTCTGGAAAGGTAAGAAGCCTTTCAAGTTTATGAGGATGGCCTTCCCGCTTATACGTTACATAATACATCATTCGAGGGAGCTCCGTGTTCTGGTTTCAATGCTCACTCTTGAAATTCTGTTGCAAGGTTTCCCTCTAGTGGAGCTGATTTTAAATTGCACATAATGTCGGATGCTAGGCGGTGTACTGAGGCGTAGCTAGAATCTTAAAACATCAGGCCTTAGCTCTGACACCTAATCTGTCCAACGATCGGTCTGCCCCGCTCTGACCCCTCTAAAGTTACGATGATCGTATCACAACGGAGGTTTTGGGAAATGCAGCCTTGGAGTAGAACCTTTATGGAATTCTCAGACTAAGAGTTTGGTTATTAAAACATTACAGATGCACCCTAACCCAGTATCACAGTGGTGTCAAACATCTTTTTTCCCCCAATTTCCTTAGGTTGTTTATTTCACAGCAACGTTCCCCTACGTGGTGCTGGTCATTCTGCTGGTGCGGGGAGTCACCCTGCCAGGGGCCGGATCCGGCATCCTCTATTTCATAACACCCAAATGGGAGAAGCTGAATGATGCAAAGGTGCCACAAGCAGAACAATAGACAATGCATGTGCAGTAGAGCAAAGGTTTTATACAACACAGTTATATGAAAATGCATGAGTTAAGGTATAAACTTAAATACTAACATCCTTAGAGAAAAATTGTGATGTACTGTTGACAGTGTTGGGGAAGTTACTTATAAAAGTAATCCAATACAGACAGAAATGGAAAGTTCAGGTCCAGAAAGTACAAATCCAGACCAAGGTTTTGTACTCTGTGACTGTGACTCTTTATGCTCAACGAGTTGCTTGAAACCTTGAAAACCTTGGTCTGGATTTGTACTTTCTGGACCTGACATTTCCACCTTGGTCTATATTGGATTGTTTTTGTGAGTAACTTCCCAACACTGACTGCTGACTACACTAATATGTTTATTTTTGCTCTTGTACATACCCGTAATTTTAGACCCTTTTGGCATATGATGGCACATATGTGAAATCTGGGTTCACTACTCTCTTCCTAAAATGCTTGATACAGTTTCTCGTCTCATCAGTCCTAGTGCCATCGTTTCTTGACTCTCTCCCCAAGTAACCTCATAATCTGTGTGTTTTATTACTAGGTCTGGAAGGATGCTGCTACTCAAATTTTCTTCTCCCTGTCTGCAGCCTGGGGTGGACTCATCACTCTGTCTTCCTACAACAAATTCCACAACAACTGTTACAGGTCAGTACTCATGTGTCACAAAGTCAAATTCTGTGTTTATTAAGTACTGCAAGTGAGTATCTGATTCGCACTTAAACGATCTCAAAAAGTATTGTAGTCCTTTAAATCTGACTTTGTTTATATAAGATATTTTAGAATATTACACTTCAAGTCGTGGGACTGATCTCCTCATGGAGGTGAAAGAGAAAGAAGGCATACTTATTTTCTTAAACTGGGGCTCTGGGCACATGACGACTTCTGATTCACATTTTTAATAATAGTGCTTACACTAATGGTCCATTAAATGACACAGACATCTTTAAACATTGACATCATTTCAATTAATTGTACAGATGCCATCTACTAAGAGCACATTTCCAAAGCTCATTCAGTTCTTGGTATACGTTTTGGAGGAAATTTAGTGAGTTTTGGAAATTTTACAGAAGTTCGTCTTTGTATTACATAAGGTCTGACTGAATTTTGGTTCTCAACACTGTAGACACTGTGTAGTTTTCACATTTCTGTGCTGAGGAAGACTGACTTTCGATCATTGGCGGTCTCAAAAACAACAAAAAATGACCTGAGTTTTGGATATGTGCTCTTCATATGCTTGAATTCATTGGTTTAAAAGCAACTATGCTCAACTGTTACTTTGACATTTTATGTACAATGGATCAGCAACATTTTAAATGGCTTTCTTGTTGAAAAGCAACATATTGTTTCATTCTAAGAAGCTGTCTGCAGAATATGTGTGATGAAATGATATGATACATGGTATATAAATAAACTTTTCGTAATGCAGGACAACTGCAAAAGCACAAAGGCATATCAAACTAAAAATCAGCGACTAACAGGAACCCTCCACTCTGTGGCTGACTTCAGCTCTTCTCACTTTTTCTTATTGTTTTCTTCCCTCTAGAGACACGATTATCGTGACTTGCACAAACAGTGCCACCAGCATATTTGCAGGATTTGTCATCTTCTCTGTGATTGGATTCATGGCACATGAGTTGAAGGTGCCTATCGAGAAGGTCGCTGATGAAGGTAAAAGAAAAAGAACGACTTTGATCTTTATTAAGATTATAAGCAACAGCATGGGAACTCATAAAAGAGCAGTCTGACTATGTGGTATAAATGAGATTCTGATTTAAGATCCTCGTAAGTCTCCTACCGGATTTTTATAATATATAATATACATTTTTAATGAGAAGTGCTGGGGGGCAGGAAAGTACATGAACTTGCACATTTTCAGTTGGCATATAAAGTATTTATTGACAAGGTGTTGTGATGAAAACATTGCTGTGAGTCAAGTGATCAGTCTGCATTGCTGCAATTGTGACCCACAGGTCCTGGCATCGCGTTTGTGGTGTACCCGGAGGCTCTCACCAGGCTGCCAGTCTCTCCCTTCTGGGCCATCATTTTCTTCCTCATGCTGCTCACACTAGGACTAGATACTATGGTAACCCAATTCAAACTAGCCTCTTGTTACACAGTGTGTTTCTGTTTACTCTCTGGTTCCTTTTATAGCACTAAGAGAGGGTACCTCCTCTTTATCAGAATGATAATGTACTAACCTGGCAACAACAGTACATACTATCATTAAAAACTCATCATTTTCTATGTGCTATTTCAAAATAATATTTATATTTATAGTTCTTGACATCAGTTCAGGTTGATTGCTTTTACACGTGTTACACTCAAAAAGCATTGCTGATATTAAATCTGTTCGGTGTGGAACTCACTAAGGAAGATGAAAGCCATTAAATAATCAGACCGAATGCCTTATAGAGGATAGTGGGGTAGGAATTGGGTCCTTCTAAGCCATAATTAGAGGGATTCACAGCACATGTGGCTCAGCTGCCTGTGAGCACGTTCTCAGCTTTAGTGATATTTGCGTGCTGTGCCCTCCACTGTACACCTGCTGGCTGTGCAAAGGAGCTGCTTCTTATAGCACTAGTTAGACCGGTGCAGTGTGAGTGTGGGGTTAGCAGCTCTATATACTCCTATGTGCAGTGTTCTCGCTCTGCCATTATGAGCTCTTTTAATTAACAATTGACTTAACTACCTGACAACCATGCCATAGTAATCAGTCCAATTTCCATGGGGTCTCTCACCAGAAAATCTAAACTGTTATGTTACCGCTTTTGTTCTTTTAAATTGGTCTAACCACCATACATAGCTAAGGTTCCCTAATAAAAAATAATCAGTATTAATATGGCTTTTTCTTCGTGTTTAGTGAACCTGTGCTTTACTTTTGATTGTTTCCTCGTGTTTTTGCTGTCCATTGATGCTTGAGTGTCCTTATGTTGGCTGCTCTTTTATTCTCAAGTTTGCTACCATCGAGACCATTGTCACATCGGTCTCCGATGAATTTCCCAAGTATCTGCGCAAACACAAGACATTCTTTACCCTGGCATGCTGTCTCTCCTTCTTCTTGCTGGGCTTCCCTATGATTACGGAGGTAAGGCTGCCATTGTGCCAGGAAGTAGACTATGCAAAGATATAATTCAGTGACTTGCAGTCCAAATACTTCATTAAGCATTAAAAAAACTAAGAAGAAATATCAACAAAACAGTAGAACACTGCATCTTCTAATGCACCAGGCCTAAAATCCCCGTTTATTAAGCCCTCTGATCCAGCTGCTACTACTCAGCTGACTATTTAAAAAAACTCCATTACAATGAAAAAGTATAATGGCTTAAATCACACACTATACAAATCAAGTATAAAGTAGATACGAAACACATTTCTATTTTTTCATATATCATATATAAAAGAAAGCATGCTCAATCTCCCATTCATTTTTGTATTAGATGAGGCGTTAATATGTCCAAATGGCCCGTCGATCTATAAACTGTAGCTGTTAATTCAATTTAGTGTGAATCTGATATATTGTAAGAAGTAAATGTAGTGATTCGTTCATGGCAGTTAGTCTCCTTTAGTGGTAAATGATACAGTATATGAAAGGAAAATCATATGGGGAAAATAATAATACAGTGCTTTTCTGGGTTGTGTATTTTCATAATACAGCATTAGTTGTATTAAATAATTCAGTTCTAAAGGTTTTTTAAAGCATAATAAAAATGTTCATTAACAATTAACAGCGGTGGAAAATTATATTCAAGTAAAATAAACGTCATCCAGTAAAATGCTACTGAAGTAAAAAATGCCTGGTTTTAAAATTACTTAAATAAAAAGTGCTATACATTCAAATCTAGTCATCTTAGAAAAATATATCTATTTAAATTCCTGAAGACAGATTTGAAAATAGCATAGCAAGATATAGTGCAACACAGTGAGGAAAACTGACTCTCATATTTTCTTTTTATTCTCTTTATTTTCTTTAACACTAAAGGTGTAACCATACAAACACACTTCTGGTTTTCATCAATAAATAACTGTTGAGTAACCAGCAGACTTGTTTGAGTGTACAAGTATACTGAAGTAATCAGGAGGTAGGCTGCAGCAGAAATCTGTGCTAGCTGTGCTGTGAGCTGATGTGCCTCTATTACCCGAACAGAGTGGGATGTATATGCTGCAGCTGGTGGACACCTTTGCCGCCTCCTACTCCCTAGTCATCATTGCTATTTTTGAATTGATTGGAGTCTCATACATCTATGGTAAGTATAATATTCCTCGTTTATGTCAAAAAATGCAGGCATTTCACACTATCACCACTAGATGCCTCTGTCACCCTATCAACCATAATGATCATCTATGAGAATTTCCTCTTAGTAAGATGACTCCTCGTGAATGTTGTTTCAGGATTGCAGAGGTTCTGTGAAGATATTGAGATGATGATTGGATTCCAGCCAAACAAGTTCTGGCGAATCTGTTGGGCCTTTGTGACACCAACTATTCTTACAGTATGTACCATGGCTGGGTAAACACTTGGTAGATATCAATTTCCAGCTCTTTCAGCGGCAGTCACAATTGATGCAGGGCTCCAGTTTTGACAAATAGTTTTCAGCTTTATTCCTGTAATTGCTGTTCTACTCAATTGTGCCTGAATTGCTCAGACCAAAATAAAAGAAGATCCAAACTTCATGGTTTATGAAATGGCCATCAGTTATAATAAAGAGTGGCACAATAACCTCTAATTTCCCAAACAGAACTGTACTATTTCTGATGAACAGTAGAGTGGTCCTCTCATTCTGACACACCCAGGACCATTTGAGAAGGGGGCTCTACGTACACCTTGAATTTGAGACCTTGTAACGATGCATTATGTCATAATGCTGCATCATGTGATAACTTGGCAGAATGTAACAAATTGAGTGATGATAATAGTAACAGTGATGATGATGATAACAGGGTAATGTCGCAATATAAAATTCTAATATAGTCTATACACTTGTAACATTTTGTCGAGTTATTACATAATGCGGTGTTGTTACATAGTGCGGTTACACATGTGATGAAAATTTGTTACATTTTGTCGAGTTATTACATAATGCATTATAACACACCTACCTGTGCTACATCACACATCACAATGGAAATATAAGTACCAAACTGTACCAGTTTATACCGCTCCCTACCTCTTTGTGAAAGTCACTTTCATCTTTGGTCTGATTGGGAGACTTCTGGCTCGACATTTAACCTCAGATAATAGAAGTCTGAAGCCATAGTAATCAGTCTTATCTCAAAGACACTTATCAAGAAACCACGCTGGGGTATGGAGCATGTCCATCCACACTGTCCTTCCTTCCCCTGTGCAGTTCATTCTGGCTTTGAGTTTGTACCAGTGGAAGGTGATGACCTATGAGGACTACACCTACCCAACATGGTCTATGGTTATGGGCTGGCTGATGGTGATTTGTTCTGTCATCTGGATCCCCATCATGTTTGTCATCAAAATGCATTTGGCACCAGGAACTTTCATTGAGGTAAGAGCAAATAGGAAAGGCACCGTTGCATGATCCAATTAATGTAATCATTACTGTAGTGGCAGCAGAGGGGAAATGAGGCATATATTGAGAGAAGAGTATTGATAATCCTCAGTTAAAAGACTTCAGTGCAGTTTCAGTTCTGCTCTTTTTTGTTCTGCAACTGTTTCGTAGGAGAGCTGGTGCATAATGTCAGGAGGGTGAGTTTAAAATGACTGCAATCAATTATGAAGGTGCATTCAGAAGGGGACCTGAAAGTTGTAGCATTATGGAGTTCCCGGTTTTTGATAATACGCATATTTGTGTGTGTTCTCCAAATGTTTAGTTTTGATTATTGCATCACATGAAAGGATGACAAAATAGTTAGTGACAAAATATATTTTCCTGGTAGTTACATGGTATGCTTGGCTAAGTGTTGCCAGGCAACAAAAGTGTCTAGGGAGTATGTAAATGCTGCTGCAGTGTGTGAGGTGTAAACATTGCTGCAGCGTATGAGGCGGAATCGTTGCTTCAGTGTGTGACGTGGACTTGCTGCTGCAGTGTGTGAGGTGGGCATGTTGCTGCGGTGTGTGAGGTGGACTTGCTGCTGCAGTGTGTGAGGTGGGCATGTTGCTGCA